CCCCCCACACACACACACGACTTGCTGCTGCTGTTGTGTTCACGGACGGTGTCTTGTTGCGTCTCTGGCGTGCGCGCGACATCTCAGTCTTCTTTTTTCTCCTGGACACCTTTCGGTTCACATTTTGTCTTTGCCGACTTTGCGATAGTTTTACGGCTCTTGCGACACAATTAGGTCGTGTTATAAGTGCCAAGGATAAAGAGGTGTTGCTTGAGAATAGCGTACAAAAATAAACATAAATAAGAAGAGATATAATGACTACAGATGTTTGATAGTAGGAAAGAAGGAGAGAACCACGCTAGAGCACCCGCCAACCACCAACGTCTTGGCCAGAACTGTTAGAGTGAGTGCGGTATTGTTTCATCGCTGTGACGTCACCAGCCTGGCGTAAACCACACCAGTACACTACGCTACTCTCCAACTTATCAGTTGCATCTCGTCACTGTCGCTCAACATTGTACTGTGTTGAATGTTTGTGTAAATTAAAAAATAAAAGAAAATCAAGTAGATCTATGTTGTTGTAGAGTTTGATGAGGTGCGTCTTTTGGCCTTAGTCTCCTGCCTCTTTTTAATATAGTAATGTGTTTAAAGAATGTTTAAAAGTTGTGTGAACATAGTGTTTTTAGCGAAATAAAACAGTTTTTTAAAATATTTTTTATCAACCTCCCCTGAAAAAGGTCATGTTCTAACATCCGACAGTGGTGAGTGACGGCGACAGTGTAAAGTGTTTTACCGTGAGCTCTACATTACCGCCACGAGTGTCTGCCTGTGTCTAGTTCGAGTCTCTAAATCTGTGAACTTTTACAGGCTGTCGGTTTTCCGGAATGAACGCCCATCCGTTGATGGATGACCTTGTCGATTTTTCTCCGCTGATTGTGTAGAATTCTAGAAGTCTATGGTCCAGGGTGCGTGGCCTTGAGGGCTATCGACGTTGTCAGTGTGGTGTCGGTGTCTCACGTCTGTTCGGCATGGTGTGGAGAGAAGGGAGGGGACGGGCGTGTGTTTCCATCTATGTCAGTTTTCTGTCTGTGATTCCTTTAGCAAGTTGTTCTCGAGGCTGATAGCTCTTAGTACTGTTGGATACGTGAACCGTAGCGCTACTGGATATGTGAATCGCCGTCGTCATTGAGGTATCAGCCGTGGTGATGTTTTCCAACTCCGTGTGAAGATTCTGTCGGATATTCGTGTGTGTGATTAAGTTGTCTTATTTATGTTTTTTTGTAGATTTCTTTCTGCTTCTTACTGGATTGACCTTTTGACATTCGCCACCTACGCGCGCTCACTCCCGCGCACATACACGCACACACCTACACGTGTAGACACAGGTTGTGTGAGGTGTGTGAGAACAGCGGCTCTCCTGGTGTGTGAGGGCAGTTTTGGATGTGTGAAATTGACGCAGTCGTGGGATCTCTGCCGCTCGGATACAGTAGAGGAGAGTCCTCTCAGTGTGTGAGACTGACTGTCGTCTGTTTTCTCACTCACGGAGACAGTAGAGGAGAGTCCTCCCAGTGTGTGAGACTGACGGGCGTCTGTTTTCTCACTCGCGGAGACTGACAGTAGAGGAGACTCTTCTCATTCTGAAAGCTCTGATGTCTTTGGATGATTGCCACGTCAATGAGGGATAATGTCGGACGTGGTGCTGTAACGAACGTGTCCGGACGTGATGTGTGAGAACTTCGAGTAGACTGTTCCCTTGTCGTGCTCTCTGACCACTGGTGTCTGTGTTGTGTTCACCTATTCTCTCCCCAGCCTCTGTGGTGTAACAGTCAGGAGACCCGAAGTTTGATTGCAGAGTGGGGATACTTTTTTTAAATCGAGTATCTCGGTTATTCTGCCGGGATGTTGTACCCCTTCCAGCCTGGGTTAGCCCTGACTTGCAGGGTCGGAAGCCTGCCTCTTAAATGATCAAAATTGTGTCAATGAGAACGTAAAAACACCTACATTAAAAAGAATATTGTATATATCAAGGGACCACGTTTTTTCCCCGGAAAAATGTTGTTTTGTGAAGACTGGGGCCAGGGCGGATGTATAGAGTGGTTGTGGAGTGAAAGAGGAAATGTTGGAGACATAGCGGTGTCAGCTACCCCGAGGTTCCAGGAACTCTCCAGGATTCGGCTGCCCGGATTTTGAGAACCGTGACGTCCTAGTCACATACACTCGTTACCCCAAAACCACGTTCTCTCGGTGTTCTTGTGTTCCCTGTTCTATGTAATCTAATGTTTAAAACTTTGTTGTCCGTGATTGGGTAAATGGTTGAAATTGTCTAGATTTAGGCCTATAAACATCAGCCTACACCTGATTTAGTTTTGACAACGCGGGCAAGCCTGGAAAGGTGGTTTGATTTACGTCACGCGGGATATGCTGTGATGCTGGACGTAATTATTTCGCGCCGGATTAGGTCGTTCTCACCAACACGTTAGCCTGTGGGAGCAACACGTGCGTGTGTGACGCACTCACACCTCCACCCCCCGGCCTCCCTCATGTCGCGCCCTGGCCCCAACTCCATGCCTAATGGCCAGGTCTGCGAGTCGTGCCAGCAACAAATACACCATCCTCAACTACAACAACAGCAACAACAACAACAACAGCAACAGCAACAACATCATTACCCGCCCCTGTCGCGGTACCCCCCGTTCACCAAACCGCCGTATGACCGACCCCCCGGGCCCCCACGGCCCCTCCAGCGCGTGTTCCTCCAGCCCTCCTCCCCCCGCCCCGATGTCTACGTCAACGGCAGGTCTCGCGGCCGTGTGGCCTACCAGGAGCGTCGCCTCCACCTCCAACAACAGCAGGCCCTCCGCTCGGACGATCAACAGCTCGCAAACCACCCGCTCTGGATTAAACAGCAGAGGCTTCTGCAGCAACAGCAAGAGGCGGAGGCAAACAACAACAGCAGTAACAACAGCAATAACAGCTGTGACAGCAATGGCCTGGTCACCTCTCGAGAGAACGGACTTCCAGGGTCGTCCACGGACATTTGCCCCTCCCCCCAGGAGAGCTGGTCAGTTGGGTCGAGTGTGGTGACCACAGCCGCCTACAGGGACAGGGGCGGGCCTGGTGTGCTGACCACAGCCACCTACAGGGGCGGCAGGCGGGCGCGCTCAGAGGAGCGGGCAGTGTCCTGGGATGAAGACGGTGGTGACGAGGACAGAGATGATGATTATGACGACGATGATGGTGACGTGGCTTCGGCCACAGGCAGACATTCGCGCGGGAAGTACAGCGGCGGCAAAAACAACAGTGTATATCTGCAGCGGGCCGACAGCAACAACTACCGCCGCAACTACCGCTGCCACGGAGGACAACAGCAGCAACAACAACAACAACAACAACAACAATCGCAATTCCCCCCTCAACTGCCGTTGGATAAGTCTTCAGGGTGGGACGGTCAGTCGGAAAGTTACAACAACAACAACAACAACATTTCTCAGTCGCAGGTGGACCAGCCCCAGCCGAGCTCGCAACAACAGCAGCAGCAGCGTTTCCGACAACAGCAGTCCTCGCAGCGATACAGCATTTCTCAACAGCAACAACAGCACGGCCAGCAACAGCCTCAGCAGAGTGCAGGAAGCAGCAGCAACAGCAACAACAGCAGCAACAGCAGCGGAAGTTCCCGACCCCCGAGGCACCAGCGGCGCCGCGGGATACACCGGAGTTATAGCGAGGTCGGCGACAGTTCTACCGCGCTTCGGTGCCGGGCCATTCTACGCTCTCACAGTGTCTTCCTCGAGGTTTGTCTATATCTGGGGTATATGTCTGTATCTGGAGGAAAGGGAGGGAGATGGACGGGAGAGAGAAAGAGAGAGAGACAGAGAGAGAGAGAGGTATACCTCTGAGTTATAGCGAGGTCGGCGACAGTTCTACCGCGCTTCGGTGCCGGGCCATTCTACGCTCTCACAGTGTCTTCCTCGAGGTTTGTCTATATCTGGGGTATATGTCTGTATCTGGAGGAAAGGGAGGGAGATGGACGGGAGAGAGAAAGAGAGAGAGACAGAGAGAGAGAGAGGTATACCTCTGAGTTATAGCGAGGTCGGCGACAGTTCTACCGCGCTTCGGTGCCGGG